TGGGATTTAGGTCTTGGAAACATGGTGTTGCCTGCAACTGAAAAATGTGTTGTCCGCAACCTGTCCTTGTCCACAGATCAGAGTTTGCTGATACCATCCTGTCGGTGCATCCCTCGGATGTCCTGGACATGCCAGTGGACCCCAACGAACCTACCTACTGCCTGTGTCACCAGGTGTCCTATGGAGAAATGATTGGCTGTGACAACCCAGATGTAAGCGCTTGAGATGGTTCGCTACGTCACAACACTGAAATCCGGGGGCGGGGGGGGTACTTGCTCAGTTAGATCATACGAAATCAAAGTGACATTTGTGAAACACTGAGTGTCTCTTCTGTGGGTTTTTCCTTTCTGTTTTGCAGTGCCCAATTGAATGGTTCCACTTCGCTTGTGTGGACCTCACCACCAAACCAAAAGGGAAATGGTAAGTATGACAACGTACAGCTTTTTTATCAGGCTACAATTTGCCTCAATAGGAATCACAATAAAAATTAAAACCCCATTGTGACCCTTCCTGAGAGAGGAGCTTTGCTTTTCTCATCAGAGAGTTTGCAAGGTTTGGAATTGTGTTTGTGTGAAGGTCAAAGGTACAAGGAGCACCTTCTTCCTAAAGTCTGCTTCCACAGGAGTCTAAGATTCTGGTGGGAGCAAAACAAGGACCCGGGCATATGCAAAACTGCATGATAAACAGAGCCATTTTTGATTCGAGGCTTGTGTAATCATGTATGTGTTACATCTCAGGTTTGCTGTATTGTCACGTAGTTGCGGCTATGGTGAAAATTGATAAGACACGTATTTATTTTTTTCACTTCTGGAAGCAAAGTTTGAAGACTGCTTTAGGTTTTGCCTATGTATGTGCTCATCTTGGAAAGAATCACAGGCTTGTTCTGTATGTAGTTTCTGTTTAATGGACCACTCTCATCTACCTAGATGCCTGTCAGAAACAGGCTGAAGTGAAAGTGAACTGCAAAATTGTTGCAGTTACTTAAATTGGCTGCTTTTAAACCACCCTCCCACCCATTCATTCCCAAATAGTAAAGAGGGTTTTGGGCTGTGTGTTGTTAACTTCAGGAACTAATTACTGCCTCTTTTTCCCCTGTAGGTTTTGTCCTCGTTGTGTTCAGGAAAGAAAGAAAAAGAAGTAAGGAGCAGAGGGGAACTCATCGTCTGAGGCAAGAAGAATTTAATATATTCCTTCATTCATGTTGCAATATTATCCTAGATTTTTTTTTTTAACCTACCTTTTTCTGGTATGATAATTAATTGTCCAGTGGCCAGTTGTAATTCCTGTTCTCTTGTAAGAAAATGACATTGGGAGAGGGTCCCAAATCCCTTTGCCCTGGGGATTTTATTTATGTTCCACTTGCAGAGCCCTGAAATCGGTGTTACCGTGAAGTGCTAGGGCAGCTGGTGGCTGTAGTCTCTGCTAGTTTGTAGGAGTCTGTGAAACCACGTAAGGTATTGCAGGAGAAGAAAATGCATGTATCTTCAGCACAGCACATTGCCAGCATGGAAATAGTTTAGGCCTGGAGCTTGGTGTGGCAGAGAGGAAGGAATTTTCTCCTATGTAGTCTGCACGAAAGAAGTAGGCTCTGTCGTTTAGGTGAGAAGTCCATTTGTTCTGCAGTTTTGCAGTATGGAAAGGAACGGGAGAGCTGGCTCACTGTTTGCAGAGTCCGTTCCCTCAGAGCCAAGCACTGTGCTTGGTTTTGACGGGGCAGGGGTGGGAGAGAGGTGTGATCGTACCTTCTCTTTCAGTGAATTTCTTCTGTCTACTTTTGCACTGCCTTTATTTCACTTGATCTTGCCCCCGATCACGTGAACCTTAACAGAAGCAAACCATTTGACTTTTCACCTCCTTGTAGAAAAGGTTTGTCTCTTTTGGGAGGAAACTTTCAAATAGCAAAGGAATTGTCCTGCAGTGTTTCTTAGTGACAGTACTATTGAGAGAGGGCGTTACCTTTCCTGGCTGTTTCCATTTCTCTGAAGATCGTTTAAGTACATTACTGTGAAGATGAAACCTACAGTATTCTTACAGAAAGTCGGATTTATTCATAAAAGAAGATGAAGGCCTGTTTTTTTGTTACTTGTGTTTGCCTGTGTTGCACCTGGATCGATCGGGAAAAGGAGCTGTAGGGGAAGGCTCCATAAGGACGATGCTGTGACGGGTACCTTCCCATGGCGGGGGGGGAGCAGAAAGGC